AGGTGTTATGTGTTGTGCATAACAAATAAATTAGGTAATTGTAGATTTTCTATAATTACACAGCAAATTTTTATTAAACGTTGCCCCACACTAGGATTTTGTCTTGTGTCTTGGATGCGTTTACAAACATACAAGTTCACACATGACACCCGGACCCGGAACAATAATCTGTGTATCACACAAAGAGTTGGTCCGTGCGGGAATCGAACCTACTTTGCGCGGCAGCCAGTTGCCCAGCTGCGCCAACCGTGATTGAGTCTTCTGATTTATTTTCATTTGATATATAATAATTTATTATGTAGTTGTGTGATGTGATACGGATAAGACTATTTCCGTATAATTGTTGTAAGTTGAAATTATAGATACGACTGAACTAAGTAATTAACTTAAAGCCCCTTACTAGACATTGTACAACATCTAAAAAAGTCTACAGCGAAGAAGACGAGGCTGTACTTAAGGCAACTGTACACGTTGCGTCATTTGACTAATACATGCATCCTTCTCAAATAATAGGCGGCCAACAAATAACAAATGCATCTTGCCTTTTTTTTGAGGAGGAAAATCAGCCAATGTCTTCTCCCGCCCGGGTGAGGCGGGAGGGTGTGTCAGACTCTTACTGACTAAAAACCACTCCGTTCCTACTCCTGCACTTCGAGCCGGAGCCCCGGCAACCCGTTAAGTCTTCCGCGGCTCCGTAAAATGCATCTTGCCTAGAAACAGTGTTCATAATGCAGCGACCCCAAATCCACCTATCATTTTTACCGGCAGATGACATAATGTGGCAACATGGTAAGCCTAAGCGGAAAAAATTGATAATAGGCACATTAGGTTTCAAGGCCCATTTTTTAATTTTATAATTACAAGTTTCATTCAAAATTAAGTGTAATATTTGTTGGTTTCATGGTTGAGATAATTCAAATTAATATTATTAAACGGAGCGTTCGAAACTGCTTGTTGCAAAATTAGGAGGTAGCTGAATACATACTTAGCTTTATTTTTCATCATATCATTATGTAGATCATAGTGGCCCAGAGGTTAAGGTACCCGCTCCTTAAGCAAGAATACACCCTTATGCTTGAAACGTGATGTATGTATCAATATGTCCTTGTCCTAGTTATATGTACGCGTATTCGCCACTAACAAACGATAAAGCAAATCGTAGGAAACCTGTTTAAATTTGTTTTTATTTGTTTTGAAGGGGGGAAAACAGTCAAATAACTTTTCCCGTCCTGGATAAGGTGTGAATACCACCTGTTAGAGAGGGGGTTTACCTCTGCAATGACAATAAGTTCGATAGTAAAATTTCAAACTATAATCATAAATAATTAACATTGATATCCCCTTCCTGTCAGAAGAAGATTTGCTAATTGCATTATGCATTAAGAGTGCGAATTTATTATCTCCTGTCACTAAAAGTAATATAAACCTGATATCTAAACCATTTCATCCGATACTTAGAAATTATGTAAATCATGATGTGACAAAACTATCTTTTTACTATCAACAACCGTGCTATAAAACTTTTTCTAATAGTTTTTCTGGAAATTGCAATAAACCGTCTATTTGCGACGTCGCGGAGAACCTAACGGGTTTAAGGGGCTCCGGCTCGACGGGCAGGAGAAGGAACGGGGTGGTTTTTAGTCAGTAAGAGTCTAACACTCCCTCCCGCTTCACCTAGGCGGGAGCAGGTATTCGATGATTTTCCCCCATTAAAAGAAATTTATTTGCGACCTCAGATCGCACTTAATTTATTTTTCTAAAATATTCTTTAGCACATTTTATTGGTCTCTGTGAAACTCGATCGATACTCGATCTTCTTATGTTTGGAAAAAAGTCCCTACGTACCAGTTGGATGGATTAACATCTGATATCAATCATGTTTTAACCTACTTTCTAGTTCCACCTTGATTTATAATGATTGCATATCAAATATTATATTGATCAAAAAACAAGATAGACCTATTATTATCTGCGTGCATTAAGAATTACTATTTTATCTAAGTACTTTGACTTTGGTTAATAGATTATTGATATGTATGCGAAAAAAAGTACCGCGAATGTTACAGTAATTTCTAATTGAATTAAATTACTTTTTGTTGTAAAATTAGAACCGATTGATAATCTGATAAAAGATAATTATTTTTTACGGATAAGTGAGCAGGTGCAGCACCTGATGGTAAGGAATCAGCGCTGCCCATGCACACCCGAAGAACCAGACGAGTGACAAATGCGTTTCCGGCTTTTTGAGATTCGAGGCTTGAGGAGATTGGGGGGGGGGGGGTAAATAAGGCTAGTTACCTAATTTTATTTTAATGCCCGTCTGGTAGATTGAGTTAAAATATTAGTATAGCATTATAGGTATATTTTTCTTTCTTGCAAAATTAAATATTAACCGGTACCATATAATAATTGTGGAACGTAACCGTAACTACAAAAACAAACACAATAGTTTTAAAAGAGATGGCCTCGGGCTGTACTAACAATAATTTACTTACAAACTATATATTTACTTTGTTACGTAGAAGCATCTACTTAATAGGAATTTAAAAAAAATACTCGTAAGCAGTCAAAAGGGTATGATAGTTTGTATGAAATGTCCGTCATTTTGAAAGTGAAATGAACAAAGTTTTTTAATTTCGATAATTGACGTAAATCATATAATTAGGAAAAAAAACATAGGAATTTTGAGTAGCGGTTGAAAGTTTATTGTCAAATTATTTAATGAGGGATGAAATAAGGATTTAAATTTAGTATGAGTCTTTTTTATCTGAGGAAAACTAAACTTAATTTTTTGGCTAATGATAAAACAATAAATAAATAAATAAATACAGATTTCAGGAATAATAAATAAAGATAGGGGTTGAAAGTTTGTTATAAAATATATGAAATGAAACCTTTATTTGTGAACCTTTTTTTGTGTGTAATCGACTTCCACGCGAGCAAAGCTACAGGAAACAGTTTACCTATGTTAGGTATATGGTTAAACATCGTCAATGCTCAATGTAGGTCTATGCAGGTGCCTAACGATATGAACTCACGACGCGATTTTGACCCGCGCCCGTTGTGGGGGCGGAATGGAGATTTATTTTAAAAATTCACGAAACCGCAGTTTCCTGCGGTTCCGTAGCCGCTGCGGTTGCGATTATCGCCCGCAAGCTTGGCGGTTGATTATCGCAGGCGGCCGGTTAAAAATCAGTTGAGTTCCAGATTGGCTGTCCCATTGCGATCGCACATGCCGCAGGCGTAAAACGCACGACGCGTTTTGTGCTTAAATTTTCTACATACCTATATGTTATCTTATTCTACAAAGGCTGCGGGCCTGTAACCGCGGCCGGCGAGGGGAGGAAATCGCTTCGTGAATCTTTAGCCTTATATGTGTACTAGATGCTTAAAAGTGAATATTCTGTTTTAGATGGCAAGTTCACTGACGGGATTATTTGGAATAATGATTACGTTTAAATGTCATGTCATAATTTTAAGTCGCTTTTTTATTTTTTTAAGAGGGGAAAATCATCGAATGTCTTCTCCCGCCTGGATGAGGCGGGAGGGAGTGTCAGACTCTTAGTGACGAAATACCACTCCGTTCCTACTCCTGCACTGTGAGTCGGACAACCCGTTATGTCCCCCATCGTTGATTTCAATAACCAATCTTAAACCGAAAGGTTTGGGGATTGATCTTCATTTTTAACAGAATTTTTATAGAATTAATGTCAAAAATCGATCTTAATCGAAAGGATTTGAATTGAGATCGGTTGATTAAATCGGCAGTTAATGATTTTGGAAAATGGCATGAGCCTGTGGCGACACATGTCACATGTCAACGGATGACGTCACAAGAATCCTACATCGCACATGCAAAGTTTACAAGCGAATAAACATGGATACAAAATCTCAACAAACAACTGTTGGGCAGAAAGCCCGTCAGCCACGATCACCTCGCCTGGTCGGAGGATCCTCCGATTCCGATCTTAGGGAACTATACTCTCTGTTTCCCTAAAAGCCGGAACAAAGACGTTGAAAAAAAAGGTGGACGTAAAAAGCACCAAAATGATTGGTACATTTTTGTGTGTGTGTGTGTGTGTGTGTGTGTGTGCGTGTGTATGTAATAGGTTACAATGTTAGCACGTTACAAGACAAGACAAAATTACTCAATTTTAAAATAATTAAGACCGATTTTTCAATACGCAGTTAAAGCCTCATGCCTTGGTTAGTTACCTAACCTATCTCGGTTAAATTTTAACAAAGGAATAACAAAGACATAATTTTTGGGCCTTTTCTGTAAGTTGCCAATGAAAACGTATTGTTAGATCTACTCATTTGGAGCAATAGTTATGGCGTAAAAGTTGTAGGATCCAACATGAAGAAGTTATACCAGTTAAGAGATTCATCGTTTTCATAAATTTATTGCTTTCTGAAGGTGCTAGGAAACGCAAAATAATAATCGATATTGGTAGAATAAAGAATCTGAGGCAATTGTGATGATAATGCGAAAAGTTTTCGCAGTCATCGTTTTTTTTTTCTTTTTTGTTTAAATATCTTCAACTGACTCCTCTCATCTTGGCGAAGTAGAAGGGAGTTGACCGACTGTTACTGAGTATAAAGCACCTCGTTCTAACTTCTACTCCGTGCCAGGGCCTCGGTACCTATATGACAATTTACCCTCGACCTTGGATAATTGTAGTCTTCTAATTTATCATTTAACGTTATGATTTCATCTTCTAGACTTTCTACATTCTTCAAAAATTGATTCCTTTAAATTCCTTGAAAAATTGTTTTTATAAAATATCTTCTTTGTCTTTATTTGTATCTAATGATTCTTCCATACATTATTTGCATGGAAATCTCATCAAACACAAACTAATTAGTATTGAGTGTATTGTGTTAAATTTCACTCTTTAATTGACACAGATTTTTTCAACGTCCTTGAGCCTTTTGTAAACTTTATCAATTTATTATGTCACTATTAGATTAAGACGCCAATAAAAATGACCGAATTATCACATTTTTATGCAGTACGGAGAAAGTTGATCAAGCAACATGTTGAAATTGGTTATTATTTTGGCTGCAGTGGCAGGTAAGACAAATATTTGTACAATACAAATTGATATCGCGTCTTTTATTTTTCGAAGGTAAACAATAATATCAAAAGTTTCATGAAAAAGTATTTTTTTGTGTTACATAACAGTTTGAGATTTGACTAGACAGTAAATATTCTAAATATAAGTAGTTTTCTAAAAAAAAACTAATAATAAATCAGTTTTCGAATAGTTATTAGCTGTTTCCCGCGGCTTTTCTCACGTGGAATGATAACAAAGTTTAATCTTTCAACCCCTATTTCATTCCTTATTAATTTTCTTCCATTCCTAAAACACTACACCACAACACACATTTCTGATAATAATCATTAGCCTAAACACATTCAAAATGTATGGAACACGTTTTGTGGATTTTTTTTATAAAATATTATTAAAAACATACGAATTACAAAGTCATACACAAAGTTGGATAGTATAAGAGAAAAAGATACTAAACTAACTAACTACTAAAGTAAGAGGGTAGGCAATATAAAATCAAAGCAAATCAATAATAATAATAAGCCCGTAGGACACCTTAAGGCGAGGTGACGGGCATTAGCGATCCCGCGGGCTACCATCATCCCGAGTGCTCCAGGGAAAAGTCTCCGTTCCTTCTTCTCCGGCTTGTCTTTATTGGCTGGCTGGACTGAACGATGACGAGGAACAGGTCTCCCACATCTGGCTTGCCTTCATTGGCCGTCCAGAGTGGAGTAGCGAGAGCAGTGATCCTGCTCGGAGGGTAAGAAACTATTCGTAAGTCGCGAGTGGGCCAGGGATGCAGGAGGCTTCGGCTGGAGCAGATGATCTGAGTAGAAAGCGGTGGTAGTTTCTTAACCCTTCAGCCATTCACATTCTCGTTGTCCCTCTGTTGCTATATCTAGCAACCATTCCCGGAGTCTCCGCCTGCCATTTTTAAATGTGGTAATTACATTGTTTCGGCAGGTGCCATAGTCATCCATAGTTCCCAATTTACCAGTCCACAGCAAACCATCCATAGCCCTACCTTTTTTTTTCATTATTCACAATAGTCCTACACTAACCGGGGACTGTCCTTGGGTGCATTTCCATAGTGCATACAGGGATAGTGGCCGGTTTGTGTCTCCATTACATTTAGATTAAAGTTGTCTAAAGGGCCTCTGCGCAGTTGGCTTCGGCCCCTCGTACGCCTCCCAAATGACCGGGACCCTGTGGTCCCGTGAATGGTAAAGACATACAATAATACATAAATCATAACAATAATAAAAATCAAAACCTAACATAGTGGTGATAGACCGACAAGTACGCCGCACGATGATAATTGATGTCACCATTCCCCATGACGAGAACCTCGTGAAAGCTGAGAAAGATAAACAAATAAAATATCTAGACTTGGGTTAGAGGTTGTCGATATGTGGAGTGTGAATTCGGCTATAATTGTGCCGATAGTCGTGTCGGCCAATAGGTTATCCCTAAAAGCCTCGACATCCATCCAAAGTCACATATCATGAGTACTATCGTTTTAATGTCATAAAATGAGATTTATCAGTAACACAATAAAATGAAAACTTAATTAACATAACATCACGCCTTTTGCCCCTGAAGGGGTAGACAAAGGTACACATTACGGCACTTTATGCCACTGTACAATGTAACATTCACATTTCAACCGACTTCAAAAAAAAAGGAGGAGGTTCTCAAATCGACTGTATTTTTTTATGTTTGATTACTCGAAGACGCCTGGACCGATTTCAAAAATTCTTTATTTGTTTGAAAGGGTACGCCTGTCATTTGGTCCCATTGTCATGAAGTCAGGATCTGATGATGGAGTCCTAGGGAAAGCGTAGGAAACTTTTAAAAATTATAGGGACGACTAGTGCATTTGTAAATTTTTTCGTTAAGTATTTAAAGCCACTACAATCTGATAAAGGTCTGGAGTTAATCTGATGATGGAGCCGAGAGGCAGTCGAGGGAACTCCTCAATGGTTAACAGTAGCTACATTGTGCTTGGGTTTGATTAATTTATATTGATGAGGAATTCACACCTAGGTGTGGTGTGGTTGTCATTAAGGGTGTGATGATGAAGTAGTACGACAGTTGAGGGAACTCCTCAGCGATTACCAGTAGCTATCTTGTGTTTGGGTTTGAATAATTTGCATTGATGAGGTCTTCACACCTAAGTGTGGTTTGGTTGTAACTAAATGTCCAATGATGAAGTAGTATGATAGCTAAGAGAACAACGGTTAACTGTGGCTACCTGGTGTTTGAGCTTGAATAATATGTATTAATGAAAACTTTGCACCGATGTGGGTTTTACATAATATAATATTTTCTTGTACTAAACTAAAAAGTATAAAATAAAAATAATAAACTGCTTTTAAAAAACCGACTTCAAAAAGTAAAAACAAACGAAAAGTAAAAACTAAAAAGCAAAAATTAACTATTATTGGTCATACTTACATACATGGTACTTATAGCTTACACACCCACTGATAGGTTAGAAGTGGGTGCCACAAACCCATAACAAATTGTATCTTAGGTAATGGTCACAGGTATAATCCATTATAAAATTGTAAACAGCTAATAATGTTAGGTATCTATTAATGTTTTAATGAATGATTTTGTGTAAAACTTGTGGCACCGACTTCTCACCTATCAGTAGGTGTGTAAGCTATAAGTACGTACGACCAATAACAGTTATTTTTTGCTTTTTAGTTTTCACTATTTATGTTATCAGTCCCATGTAATAGGGGGTGGGCTTATTGCACAATTCCAGACTGCGTGCTGAGATTTTTTTAAGCCTAGTAATACTTTGCCTACTAATTAATTAAATTTTCGACAGGCAGAAACGATGTTTAAACACTTTGTGTAATTATGATGTTTATTTTTTAGCATGCTGTGGACAGGTGCCAAACATGAGAGTATCGTATACCCTGTTCAAAAAGTAAGTACTCACGATAGTTATTTAATAATTAAATATATAATACTTAGGTATAAAAAACTTCTTGTCATATAAATGTGTATTTTATTTATTAAAAGTAATTTGATGATCCTTTTCATAAACATACAGTATGGAAATCAGACATATACGTTAAATAAAACTACCTACTTGTAGTTTTATTTGGCTGGTGCTGAAAATCACGAGTTGGTGCTAAAAATCAGCACCGTGGGCTCGAACCTCTGTGCCCGGTCTACGGTATTAAGCTGAGCTCCAGCCTTTTGCGCCGCGACGCACCATGGGCTTTTTTGTGTGTACCTAAATTCTTGTTGTGTGTCGTGGCAAAATAAATAATATTTCTTTCTTTCTAGTTTTAGTCTGCAGAGTTAAAAACACTACTAAACATTTCAATAAAAACAGAAAAACATCATATTGGAACTGCTACATGTATCTTTTTTTTTTGATGGCGAAGGTAAACTTTGAGCAGGAGCCTTTTTCGGTTTTTGGGAAGAAAGACTAGGAATTGTGGCATTTTTACCTCACTAAAACTACTTTGGTGGCTGTTCTGTACGGGGATAAAAAACGGGCTAAAAAGAACCAGGAGATATGCCGCCTCAAAGAACACCGTTTGGTAAACTCGTAATACATAGATGGCCATTTTCCGCTGGAAACGATAGATTTTCGTCCTGCAACGTCGGATTCTTGACAGTCTAGCTGCCCAATCAGGCGGACCGTAAAGGGTCATCGAACGCACGACACCCGCATAGAGGCGGCAAACTTCTTCTCGAGGTCTTCCAACGGTAGTCAGCAGCCTTTCCGATTCGGGGGACCAGAAACTCAAGATGCTTTTCAATGTCTAGGTTAGACCTAAATACTTTGTGTATCGGTTTACCTGAACTTGCGGATCTCCAACATATACCGATAAACTGGGCAGCTTTCTGGTTCTCGGCAGCTTATGGAACCATAGTGCCTCAATTTTTTGAGGTGCCGGATGGTCTCCTCAAAGTTATTCCCGCTGGCCATTACCAGAGCGTCATCTGTGTAGCAAATCATATGAACACCAGCGGAAACTTCAACCCGCAGGACCTTGAAGAGCTACAATCTTGTAAATTATCTAAGAATATTACGGGCTTGCGTTTTTCGAAAAAGTGTTTAAATTAGCTCAACGGCACTTTTTGATCAAACTACTGGGCCTATTTTCGTATATGCATTATGCAATGTGGTTAATGTTTTTAAAATAACACTGCGTATATATTCATTTTAACATGTAAACATTTCTTTTCAAGGGAAAACCAATTTACTGGTACGAGTATGTCTGAATCCATACCTGAAATTTTCAATTCAACACAAAAGACAATATTCTTAATACACGGCTACGCGGGTAACACAGTTTCGAGGTTCAATCAATTAGTCCGGAACGGTGAGTACATTCATAAATATACATTTATATGTATTTATACATTAATAGCTTTTACCCGCGACTTCATCCGCGTAAAATAATGTCTTCGGGCAGAAATTGGGCTTTTGAATTAGTCTTTCCCTACAGTTGTAACAAATTTCATCAGAATCGATTTGTACCTAGGTTATATGGATTTATAGTGAAATGAATTTAATTTTGAGGTTTAATAATTCTATACTAATGTTATATTTGAAAGTACCTATACTGAATCAGGTCTTTAGCTTTTACCACATTGGTAATTTAATATTGGTTTTTACCACAGTGTTTTAGCGTCACCATTGTAATCTGAGGCTAGAAAACTGTATCATTTAATTATTTTGTGTTTAAGCTTAAGGGCTAGTTAAACCTATAAACGCTTTAGCTTCTTTATTTTTTGTACTGAATTTTGTATCCTATAATAGGGCTGACATTTTCTTCTAAGGAAAAAGACTCTTCTTATTAAATAAAGATTTTAAAAAAGTATAAGTTGGACATATTTGAAATGATGGAGAGTAATATATTGTGACCAGCAAAATATCGTGCACCATTTCTTTTTCTTTTGTAAAACTGCCCCCAACTCCTTAAAAGAGCGCGAGCGAAACTACGGGCAGAAGCTAGTCCATGAATACAATATGTTCAGTTAATTGAATTCGTATTTTTTTTTAATAAATCTGATCCCCGATGCAGCTGAATACTAACAGTAGTCCTTGAAAATTGAAAACCAACAGTATTTCATTTTTGTCCGTCGATGCTAAAAAATACTATGGAATTTCTCGGTCACCATGGATACCAAAGAGGTTGATAGATCAAACCTTGAAAGGAATTGACATTGAAGAATCGAAGCATAGTGCATTGGTTAGAAAACTTTATAATATTATTAAATTAAAACTTCAAAAATATACCGGCAATTGTTTTTTAAAAGTCTTCAGCTTTTAAAAATATATAGATATTTTATTTTAATTAAAATACATAACAATATTATACGCGTAATAACGCAAAGAATACGAAATTATGAGCAAGATGGTAATACGAAGTTTATGAATATTTTAATTTTGGAAATTATAATTTGTTAATTTATTCACCGTATTGATTTATACTTGTTTGTAGATGTGTTCGGTTTGATAAAGTTATCGGTATTTTTTACGATTGTATCACTACCAATTTCTACTGAAACTTCCACGGAAACTGCAATCCAGGTAGTACTAAGTACAATGATATTAATTCAAGTACTTATATTCTTTGTAGTATTTTCAGTTTGCATAAAAGTCAAAATATTATAAATACATCTAAACTACCCCAAGGATCACTTTGCCTGTTGATGGAAACTGTATGACAATCAGACTCGTACTTTTCGAGTTTATCGCGAACAGAAAAATAAACAGACGCGGGGGGGGGGGGGCGTTGTTTTATAATATGTAGAGAAAAAACTAGAGTACTTACAGACTAACACTTTAATTTTTTTTTAATTTGACGCTCAAATGGTTTTACTGTTAATTAAAATCAATGATATAGATTTTTTTGGCTTTCACGACTTTATGTTTACCGCTTTATATCGTGTTGTGATGGCTACATTTATCATCATACTACTTTTCCCATGAATATTGTGGACAGTCTATTAAGAGTATATAACCATTTATAAGAGACCAAGCAGAAGTGATCTCTAATAAACCAGAACCTTGTAAATTGTATTTTACAACTTGACCGCCGGTGCCGTGAGATACACAAAAAAATAAAATAAAAAATATACTACAATTTCATACCATGAATTGAATGAGTTGTTATTTATGCATATCTTGGTGAATTTTGAACCTGCTTATGAGTCAAAATAAGTAATTGAAAAGTTAAGCCACGTCTACGCTAGATGAATCGAGCACTAGCGGAGCACGATTCTAGTGAGGACGGACTTTGACGTTGTCCGTCACTCGAACTGACCATCATGGAAACGTTCGGACAGTGATCGTTGTTTGTTCGGCTCGTTTTCAGTTTGTCTAGCGTAGACCCGTCTTTAAAAAGTGCTGCTGCTATTTGCCTATTCATATATTTATTGCTGTAGAAGCACGATGGAATTGACCTCGTCATTAGTGATTGCGGGCTTAGTGGGCGTCATGAGAGTAAAATGCGAGCACAAAACACAATGATCATAATAGACACTTTTTTAATTTAGATAGTAACAATAGTTTTATCTGTTTGACAATAACGCAAAAGAAATTTAATAATTAAGACTGAGCAGTGGGTTCAGGGCACCGATCTTACAGTAAATCACATAAACGCTCCAACTCGACCGATAGCTAATTCATGCTCTCCCGCCAAAACTATCTCCCTTTTTTATCAGTAAGATGGCGCCTTGACCCCGCTCGAGTCGCGCGCTCTGCTCTGATTGGTCGTTACTTAGGAAGTCAAATTCAAATTATTAATAATTCTAATAAATCAAATTAAGAATTTTAAGTGAGACAAATTAATTTAATTTAGTTTAGGCATGTTTAAAAGTGAATATAAAACAAACAAAAATTAAAGTGCGTTATGCAATGCAAGTAACAATCAACTTCCAGCTTCCTCCGACATATATATTTATTGTACTAGGCCACCGGCCTTAAAAACTTTCTTCCTTTAAAGTCCAATTATGTTAACGTTTAAATGTTTTCAGCTATTTTCGACTACCGTAATCCTGACAATTATAACGTCATTGTGGTTGACTGGACACTAGAGGCGAGTTTCAGTTACACACAAGCGAGGAATAATGTGGGTAACGTTGCTCGCAACTTGGTCAATTTTATACAATGGTTAACAACAGAACCTACAACAACAGGAGTACCTACCACAATAACAACAACAGGAGCACCTACCACAATAACAACAACAGAAGAACCTACTACAACAACAACAGAAGAACCTACAACAACAACAGAAGAATCTACAACAACAACAACAGAAGGATCTACAACAACAACAACAGAAGGATCTACAACAACAACAACAGAAGGATCTACAACAACAACAACAGAAGGATCTACAACAACAACAACAACAACAACAGAAGAACCAAACAATCCAAATCCACCAACAAAACTAGAACGACGATCAATAACACGTGGTCAATCAAATGTAGCAAATTTAGAAGATTTTCATTTTGTTGGGTTTGACCTTGGAGCACACGTTGCTGGTATTGCTGCAAGAAATCTTCGGACAGACTCTAAATATGTTGGTAGAATCACCGGTAAGTGTTTTGGTTAACATAACTTTTATATAACGACAGTAGTCGCGGTTGCGACCACTGGAACGTCATTGTTCTTGTGGTCGCAAGCGTGACTACCAGCAATTATGTATTCAACAGTGATAACCCCATCACCTTATCCGTGTGAGAAAGGGACTTTACTCAGCAACAGGCACTCATAGACTGTCGAGCCGTCATTCGTGCTAATGCACGAAGTGATAAAAGTGTATTAATTTATTGCCCCTGGGATTATTCTTTTCTTTCTTTCTTAATTTACTGCTTACATTGTTATTTCATAATCGAACCTGTTTGATGTAAACCAAAATCGTGAAAATAAAACATTTTCACTGGGGTGACTAATAATACTATAATGAGTAACAGTCAGACACTATTATCTTTAAATGTTTTTCTTGACTTAACTTTGGTTTAACATAATTTTAAACAATAAAGGCCCATTATCTACGTAATCAATTGATAATAATTAAAGACTGACTGTTAATAAAGCGAAAAAGGTACGTAGGATTTCTAGCAATTGACGTTCCATAGTCTCTGCCTACCCCCATGGCAGACAGGCGTGAAGTTATATATGTATGTAGGTATGTGTGTCCACGTAATCGCACGTCATTTGGTAATGTTGATTTATTTTCCATTAAATACATATAATTAATGTTTATAAAATAACCAAATCAGTAGGGACAGAGTTAAAGTTTTATCTCTAATTCTATTTTCCATTAAAGTTTAATTTAATCTAACAAATGTTACAAAAGTATAATTTTTTATATTCAAAATATTACATATTTCGACAGAATGTTTCTAGAGTTGTAGAATGTACTACTATAGTAAACAAGTTTAATTATGGTAGCTATATCTGGTACCCGTCCTATCAGGCATGATTTACATTTATTTATTTATTGTTTACAATAATGTAGACTAATTGGTATCGTATCTACCAAATCGTCTAAATGTCACTAAAAACATACAATTAAAATATTTATTTACATTTATTTATAGTTGACGACACCGCCTACTTACCACACAAATATCGATAGAGACACAGGTGGATTATTATTAAATTATTATTACAATTATTAAATAGTAGTAATGCAAGATATGTATATACTTTCGCCTTTGTTGCAATATGTCCAGGCCCCCCATACCAGAAACAAACTTTGATGGGTATAAAAATGGATAATATCCATATTTACGTAATTTGTATAGGAACCGTGCAAACTTACGCTGGATTTTTAGGAATGCATGCAGCCTGTAAATGAGCAACGCAACATTGTCGCTCCGTGGACACAGTTTTGATTGTTCTGCAAGATGTACATATGTTACGTGGACAATGAGTCTTAATGAAATTCATTTTTAGATTTGTGGCTATGAGCAAAATGAATACCCGTCTGTCATTATTATTCTAACCAATCTACTAAAGGAAAAATATGTAGTCGAAAAATAGGCAAAACTAGGACACAAACATATTTTGGCCATTATATTTTATGAACATTTCATTTTAGGTTTGAGCCCATCAGGACGTCAGTGGGGTCCCGGTTCCGAGCGCTTGAGACGAGATGATGCCAGATATGTTGAAGTAATTCATACGGATACTTTAGGCGTCCTTGCCAATGGTATCGAAGATCCCATTGGTGACGTAAACTTTTACGCTAATGGAGGAAATAATCAACCAGGCTGCCTCACACACTCCTGTTGTCATGATCGTGCTTTCGAGCTGTTTGCAGCATCAATGATCAACCCAAATCTAATTGGACGTGGATGTACCTCAAAAACACAGATGAACCTTAATTTATGCCGAACAGGTTACCTTAATTTAGGTGGCGTTGAATTATCCAAGACTGGGTAAGTATTCTGAGAATAATAATATTCATTCATAGTTATAATTAGACTGGATAACATCATCCCTTTTTATTCACGAAGTGGTAAGCAGAGGTGCACATCCCGTGCGTGCTGCTCGCCTCCTATTAAACGCGTGATGTTATACAGCCTATTATAACTTCTTCAATAGAAGGATCATCTAACACAAAAATAATTATTCACATCTGACCAGTAGTTACACAGATTAGCGCGTTCAAACAAACCTTCAGCTTTTTATAATAACTAGCTGTTGCCAGCTGTTCGTCCGCGTACAATAGTGACTTCTAGCAGAATTTAAGTTTTTTAATTGGTCTTTTCCAAGTTATATTCTATGGCTGTAATAAATGTAGGCTATGGGCCATTCATATTAGAAATAAATACAAATAATCGATTTGCCTTTTATTGAGACAATTTCATAGAAGTAAACAAAATATAAAAGTGATATCCGTAGAAAATTCAAACCAAAAATAAAACTTCCTTAACAGCCAGTGCTCGCATTACTACCAAATAGGTATATTATGTAAATGTCATCAAAATCGATTCAGTACAAGTTACCTCTATATTTATTGCAGAATGAATATATTTTCGTGATTTCTAAAATTAACAACAGTTGTACGGTGTACGTTCCGTAAGATTTCAGAGATAAAAACTATTGTATATGTAACTGTTGTTGTCCCGAATGTCAATCAAATAGGTACAGTAGTTAAAAAAGTAGAGAGTGCCGAGATTTCGAAGTAAATTGTTAGCAATCTATAAGTGATCTGTTTAGTACTTTTTAACCGTCATTTATAATTTTAGCACAATTTTATGGAGCATGTGACCGTCTTTGCAATGTATATGACAATGCCAGGTGCTCGGTACATCTTTGACCCACTATATTAGAAGTCATGTACAAGTATGCAATATTCAGCATCGTGTAGTGTATTAATTACCGATACCTTAACATTTGTCCTGAAACCTGTAAAACTTGCAGTTTTTGTTTAAAACACAAAACAATAATGATAAATAACGCGAAAACAACGGAAACGCAGAGAGCGAATGAAAGATAATATTGACACTGACAGCTGACAACTGACAAGCGCTTCAAAACGTTTCGTTACACAAAAGGATCATAACTAATGATCGTTTCTTTTATGTTTTCGCGATTTCTTCTGTAATTATTAATAAATAAATAAATGTTATACATAATTATACTTCTGAAATAATATTTTATGTATAATGATATCTTTTTTACAGTTACTTACTTTTTTATTTTTATAGTTTCGTACAAGCGATGCGTATGATGTAACGCAAATAGTCATTAGACAATATGGAAGACGCATTGCAAAAAAGTATTTCCGGGATTGAACTTCTTTTTTTATTAGATTGCAAACCGCAAGTTTAAAAATAAAAAGATTTATTGTGAAAAGGTTCCTTATTCGTCAAAATTATTTTCATTAATTTACTTTTTTTGTAAATGATATTATGACTGGGTCAGGATCTGGCATTGTCATTTTTTGTTCACAAATTTGTTTTGGTGCGTGCATGCACGTAGTGACGCCTAGGTGACACGATTGGTACTACATGACGGAAAAGTGTATTGTGACGCTTTTCGTAAACTGACAATTAAACAGTTACGGGGGCTCCGGCTCGAAGTACAGGAATAGGAACGGGGTGGTTTTTAGTCAGTAAGAGTCTGACACTCCCTCCCGCCTCACTCAGGCTGATGAAGCATTCGATGATTTTCCCTGGTTAAAAAAATAAAAAGAGTAGATATTGATATATCGGGCTATTGCTGAAAATTAGCGCCGTAGACTAGAGCCTTTATGCCCGGGCCTCAGTATTAAGCTGAGCTCCGGCCTTTTGCGCTGCGACGCACCATGGACTTCTTTTTGTACCTATATTCTTGTCTACGTGTGTCGTGGCGGAATAAATGGTATTTCATTCTTTCTTTTCTTAATAATAACAATTTTAATATTATTTTGCAGATTGAATATCTACAGGATCAACACATCAAGAAGATATCCGTTCTATTAAAACTAATACTGATTAATGACCGAATAAATACTTATATTCCACGATTATTTGTTTTAATTCTAAAACTTTTGACTACACTTCCTATTGTAGATCTAGCCTCTAGCTTAGAGATGTAATGCGGTGTTCCACAGGAACATCGGTTATGACTGGGTGCTGCGCACCGACCTCCCGAACGGCGTTAGCATCATATGCTACGCCGACGACACGCTGGTACTGGGGCACGGGAGGTCGCACCAGGCGGCGGCCGATTTAATGGCGACAGCGGTTACGACAGTCGTTGAAAGAATCCGGTAGTTGGGACTCGAGGTGGCGCTCCACAAATCCGAGGCCATTTGAGGCGAAATGTTTATTTATTTATTTATTTTTTTATTTATTTAAATAGGTTAGCCAACAATTATTACACTTTTTCATTACTGTTAATAAAAGATATAACACATGTGCGAGTATAATAATCACTTATAGGCTAACACAGCATGCACAATAGTATTAGTTAACAATACACTATTTTTAAATTATGATAAAATAAAATAATATTTATTGAAAAATAATAGTGTAAAAACAAACTGACAGAAAAAATATGTTACAATATTAGGAATTCTAAAAAATTAATTTTTTTTTTTAAATAAAAAAAAAAGTAGGAACATAAAATCTCTCTAAACTAACTAAATACGATAATGACGAAACGCAAAATGCTGAGAAGTACTCATCCATTACAACGCATATTAATAAAAATAGCTTTACGGAACTGACCAACACTGTCACTGTGCAAATCAGTCACATCACTATAGCTGTTAACTGCTTTGCACAGTCTAGGTATTACGTGGTTTGCACCCAACACTGTTCTTCTCAGTGGTGGGCACAGTGGCGTTATGGGCTGACGTGGGTATCTCGAGGGAGCGCGAAACCGTAGGAGACTGAGCAAATCGGGACAATCTATTTGATTCCTAATTAGCTTAAACAAAAATAGCGCATCATATGCCTCTCAACGAGATGATAGTGAATGCATCCTGAAGTATTGCAGCCGGCCAATGTAGGAATTGAGTTGCTTTGCTTTACCTGTTGAGTAGGCGAGGTACCACAAGAACCTTTTCTGTACCCTCTCAATGCGCAGTATGTGGTCCGCGTAGTGGGGTCTCCACACAACACTACAGTAGTCCAGAGTGCTTCGTACAAGACTGTTATATAATAGGATCTTTGTGCCACTTTTAAATTCTCTGGAGTTCCTTATGACAAAACCCAACATTCTACTAGCTCTTTTAATTACGTTCTCT